CGTTTTCCTTTCAAGACTTAATCAAATTGGAGGGGGTATTAGATGTATTTACAAATCGGCACTAAGTTTATTTGTGATATTACGGACTGGGAAACTACCATTTTTGCCTAAAAAACCTAAAGGGGGTATATCCCAAATCACAAATTGTCAACACAAATAATTGGAGGCTTATTATAATTTTAGCTTGATTCCAATTCATAAGCGATGGTCGTTGGAGACCATCAATACGGATTTAGAAAACTATGAACCTTCAGTCATCAGCGACTGCGATATATTAGTCTGAAATTCCGGAATTGTAAATTCTGTGTATTCAGAGTTCTCTTCTGTCGACTTTCTTGAAATTTTAATATCGATTTGAATGTGGAAATGGTTTTAACTTTGAAATGAAAGAAGGAAATACTGATAAGTCATGTTGCCACGTTGTTTTAATGTCAGGATCTTTTTGTCCCCATGTTTTTAATGTCTCAATGTCCAGTATCGATGACCAATCATATCTATGTAGTGGATTTTTAGACATTGTTACGTTTATTGCATCCGTAATGCATCATTATTTCTCCGAGCATTTAAGCATTCGATGGAAATATTGCCATCTAGCAGTGCTAGCCAAGTCTGAGGTGTAAATTTCACTTTTACCTGCACTCATTTCACTACCGAAATATCCGCTCATCAATTGTTAGTATTTTATAGCTTCACTCAATTAACTTTTAACTTCGCGCAGTCCATCTTCTAATTAATGCTAAATTCTTGGGCATACAGAATTTTTAATTGTTTTTGATTGTAGTCCACGATATTTTCTCAAAATACTTTGTATCAGTCAATCATCGGATAATCATTTATCATCACTTAGGCAGGTTTCGAATTTGTCATAATCTAGAGAATAATAGAAATAATTTTATTTCACCCATACAAAATTGTTAAATCTTTTCACTGTCCCAACAACTCTTCACACTTTATGATATTTAAATAATTCTCGGGAAAATTGCCGGGAAATGTTCACTGCCTAATTTTGTTTATAAATTAGATGAATGATACGGATGTGTTTTTTGGGTATTTCTTTCGACTTTTATTTAGAAGACGGGAAAGGTGAATGATTGTTGGAACGACGAAAATACTGGAGAGTAAGTGTTTTGTAATCTCATGATGATTATGCTTATGATAATAACAAGCAGTGATAAAGACTAACTTGATAATGCGAAGAAAGCAAACCTTGTTCGTTGTGAAAAGATACGTTTTACCATCGGATGAGATGAAACCAACTCACAGAAAAAATTATTGTGATTGTTTTGAACATCTGCTCTATCCTCTAATGCCATTTCTGGCATTAATGTCAGATTTCCAGTGAATGGTGTTGAACTGAAATATATTTTTAACTGATAACTATTGAAACAGTAAATGATAGCAGGTGATCGTATTTAAGGGAGAGATGGGATAAATCTGAAACAAATTATAAAGCTGAAATTAGCTTGTTGAATATTCATTAGTTAGAAGTTTTCAAAGTTAAGAAAAAATATATATTAAACATTTTCTCCTACCCAACTTAAACTTCATTACCTCAATAATTCTTGCATGACATACATGATTTGGTATGATGATTCGTTTCTATCTCCATCTCTTCCCGTTCTTTTCTCTCTTTCTGCTACAATTATCGGTGAAATTCTCGGAACACCATACGTTAAAGGGTATAAACTTTCCAATCGCACACTTGAATTGTCATCAGTCCTGTCATTCTACAAGTAAAAATCACTTAATGGTCAAGGTAGAAATGATAATTGTTAGAAATAGCTCGCAAAAGTTTTAAGGACCTGATTCCTTCGAAAAATCTCAGCTATGTTACTTCATATCGCAGTGTATATTTGAGTATATATAATTGAGTACTGAACTTAGTTTCACTTTTTAGAAGTTCTCTGTTAAAATTTCAAAACCTTAACGACCTAAAATCACAATTTTCAATGAGAAATACTTGCTTTTCCAACCTCGAGTCGTATGTCATTCAAAATGTTTTCTGGAATAGTATTTCGATTTCCATTTATAACTGAAATTAGTTCATCTCATACGTGATGGAGGTGAAAATGAATTCTGGTGTTAAACAAATGATTGTCATCTTTTGTTTTATCATCACCAAAAGATTATCATAGTTTATTTCATGTGCATTTAATTTTCATCACGCAAACTACTTTGACCATAATTTAACTTGTGTAACTTAACGATTCAGTGGACGATCTTCATCTGCTTAATTTCACTTCTTACTCCTCAAAACTTCATTACTGCTATTATATTACCACTTTTTCTCATGAAACTTTCAATCATTTCAGCTCAATAATAATGCCTTGAATGTGTTTGAAACTTGCTTGTTACGTTAAGCCTTAACCTTATTATGTTGTTTTTGAAAAAAAGAAAATCGAATCTTTTTTAATTCGTTGTTCCTGGAAAGAATGTTCTAATATAATATTGTACGGTGGGAAACCTAATCCGAAGAATCCTGTTTGTTAAACAAAATAATTTTATGGTCGTACCAAGTCATCAATTATTATTAAAAGATTTGGTTTCTAAAATTTACTTCTCGATGTCTATAGATTTTGAAGTTTCCGGAAAGGTCCATTTCAAATCTACCAGAAATTTTAAGTTCCGTTATTTGAAAAAGTACTATTAGTATCACAACCTTGGGTATCACCGTGTTTCACTTCACTGATAGTTGTTTCACGGCCCACAGATTTTTGCGATGATTGCGTCCTGTCCATCAAACCCTCTTTCTTGTCATCTCTTATCCGAATCTGAGAGAACTTCTCCTAATTGAAATCCTTTTTTGCAATTACTAAACGAAACCGTTAAAAATCGAAATTTTTCTGCCACGATTTTTTTTTTAATTTCGAAATTTCGAATTTACAATCGCTTATTCCAGCATTCCTAAACTCTTTTACTTAAAGAAATGAGTGTTGCATCATGCAGAATGGGATGTATTACCCTATTATTTGGTACCATTCTCGAGAAGATCTGGGAATGCTCAGAACTTTTGTGATGAACAAATAATGTCATTTAAAAGATCAACAAATACTACTTGCTGATCAGATGATGCAATTGCATTTTGTTGCTCCATTACTTGGACTTGTTTGGTTCGGCCAAAATAGATAGCAACGAAGAAGGAGAGTGCAGCAAATGGTATGAGACCTAGGATTGATAGTGTAAGTATGGTACTCCACCTGGAAAAAATTTTTACCAGAATTAACTGAAGAGTTGAAGTATGGAGATGTCATCCTTCTCTTTCTTCCCCGGTGATTCCAGTTTCAAGATTTCTTGAAACCAATATTCTTCCACAATTCTGGTGAATCTCATGCATTTTTATGGATCAGAAACTTGATATTAAAGACAAAGAATTTTTGATATTTTGAAGATGTTATAACCAAACCCATCGTCTGTAATGCTCATATGTTTATTGTCTGATGAAGCGAAGAATGGAACAGTTGTGATAATAAACTGCTGTTTCAAGAAAAAGATGAAATACTTTGGATGAAATTTTTTAATGCAAATTTGTCCATCTCTGAAGTCTGAAATGTACTGAAATTGATATCACATTTAGAAGTGCTCACTAATTTGGATATGTTATGGAAATTTTTGAAGTAATTTACAATTATTTTCATCAAGTATGCAAATTTAATAGTAGTTGACAAGAATATAAAAAGGAATAGTTTGTTTGATCAGTCATTGTTCACTATCGGCGTGATGGCAGTTCCAACAGCTCTCTTCATCATGATGTTCATTTTGCTATGCAGGAGTGGGAGCTATGGAAATAAGCGCAGTAAGCAAAAATAAATTCGGTGTCTTTTTCATGATAAATCAGAGGGGTAAACAAATGGGGAAGTCGAAGATTAAGTTTCTGATGAATTAATGAGGAGTTCGGAGGTTAAGCTTGTGATATTTCTTGCTTCAGTAACTTTGTTGCAGCAAAAGATGGACGAAATGAAAAAGCAGAGGCACAGTTTAAAGCAAACGGTTCTCCACAAGGTGCAAGCGATTCTCCACAAGGTGCAAGCGATTCTCCACAAGGTGCAAGCGAAACGGGAGGAGGGACGAACACCGGAACGGGAGCGACTACAAGCAGTAAAGAGGGAGGAAGTACAGTCAGCGGAGGGACGGTAAGTGTAACCGGAAAGACGACTGAGGTGGCAAAAGAGACGGTCGAACAGACAACGGCACAGGACGCTGGAACAGTAGTGGAAACGACGACAGTAGCAGCAGAAGTTTCAGTCATCGAAACGGAAACGGGAGCTGAAGAAGCAGAGGCCCCGACGACTACAGCAAGTGGCGCTGCACAAACTATTGGCATTATGCCTCAAATGAGTCGGTTTCAGTGAAAATATCACAAATTTTTCACTCCCTTAATGCCTTCTGCAATTTGCAAATCCTATCCTGCAATGCAGCACCATTGTGTTATGCTTTTTAAAACTCTTAGGTGTCCTTCGCATGCTTTCGTATGAAAGCACCGAGAAATTTTGAAATTTGCAAATGATAAAACCGAAACCTATTTGTAAAAATGGTAAATTTATTGAAATGAATAATATTATTCAGGCTACGTGATGCAGCTGGCTATTCAACTTTGGGCTACTTATTTCATATTTGGCTTATAAAATCGAGGCGAAAATATTGGGCGAAAAACATTTCAGATTTTCATCACCACTCTTTGTTGTAATTCATTTTTGATCGCCAGATATCAAAAACGATCCTTCATTTCCCTCCTCAATACTGCATTTTGCGTGAAATACAGATGCTGATTCATAAAAATAAAACGATGACTTACTTTCATGAGTATTATGAATAACAACATTAACAATGCATTATCATTGTGACTACAACATCCATTTCCGGTACTTCATTTCTGATACTATTTTTGATTTCGATCCTGATTTCTTCCGCTTCATACAATTCCCAATCTTCATACATTTTCATACAACTCAGTGTAAAACAAAAATTTGATTAAAATTCCAAGTTTGTAAATCATCGTCTCCTGCAGTACATGCACTGTCATTATGATAATTGATAGCATCGGTTGATTTACAACCTGCATTTAGAGCTTTGTGATTCTTGAATCATCATTATTAGGATATGAGATAACTGGGGAAAGCTATTTGTTTGCATACTAATTCATTGTTAAGATAAGAATGTTATATTGCAATTAATAATCGGTACATTTGCTCTAGCTAATTCGCGGGTTAGTGTTCGGTGTATTATCTCCGATTTAATTTCATTGGAATAAAATATCCTCATCTTAACGGATCTATTGACATGGAAAATACAGTAAAGATTAGAGGGAGAAACAAGCTTCAGCTATTATGTACGTCTCAGTAATTGTTCGAAAAATTGGCCTGATCGAAAGTTGTTGCTCAGGAAAAAACTTAGCGTGAACCAAAACAGGTTAAGGACATTGTACTTTGTCATACCAGTGATATCATATCAACAGACCGGATGATCCTGTTGATCTTAATAAAGTTTTTTCTTTTGCTAAATTACGCGTGAGAGAATTCATTGGATTCTCTGTGGACAGTTTGTAAAAGTATTGAAATTATAATCGGATTTACCGATAATCAATATAATTAACTATATTGTGGTCACCTCTATTCTTTTTTGCAGATCTTAATTTCGTCTTGCAGATCAGTTCGCAAGATTCAATATTCAATATTTTTTGCCCTACTTCCAGAGTATTTCACTAGCGTCTTTTGTGATAATGCACCAATTTAGGCTTAGAACTCCCTCTTCCACTTTTTCCCCGTGAAATGATACACCGTCAGAGATAAAATCCTCCAGGTTTGAAAGCTTTTCTATTTCTGATTTTAGATATCAACATGATGCAAATTGAATCGGAAACAAAAAGAACCATTGAAAGTCTCTTTCCGTATTTGGCACCTTACAAAGTGAAAATTATAATTTTCTTCTTGAAATTTTACGCAACTTGACATCAAAGTTGCAAAATTTCGCTAACATCCACCTCAAGAATGAGTAATTAAATTACTGGATAAAAGAAAGGATATTAACGTTGCATAATCACTCAGAATTAAAAGCCAAATTAATGCGTAAAGGCAAGCTCCCAAATGTCGCCTTAAGATAAATTCCAAAGACCCCAAATAAAAAACAAAAATGAATGTTATCCTGGTATGCGCAGGATTTATCTATATCTTTCACAAATGTGGTTTTACGATTATTAAGATTGGCGCTCTTTGTTAGCGCACATTGCCAAACAGTAAATACACATACAATTCTATGCATAGTTGGTAGCATCCTCCGTATTCGGAAAAGAATTTGAATGGTTTTCAAATTTTAGTTATGATCCTAAATACAGATTAGTACAACAGAGCACAGAACAAAAATAAAAAAATTTTATTTTTTCCCATCTTTCTTTATATGTTGCAGCTGGTATCAAGCAAAATGATGCAATAGAAGGTTTGAGTTAAAGAAAACTTGCAGTCTTGTGCTGAGCTTTGTTTGTTCTAAAACCTTTTATAAGAATAAAGGTAAAGGTCAGGGATCCTTGATATATTTTGTTTCTCCCTACTCCAGTTAGGAAAACACAATTTAGAGTAAATATTGCATATACACACTCGTATCTACTCGTGTGTACTTACAATTAGCAACATATATCGGTCAACAGGTATCTATTTCTTGCGAGGTACTATACTGCTTTTAGCAAATACAGCAATGGATATCAAGTAACGACAATTTCCAATGGACAGCCTAGAAACATGTAGGCTTGTTCTTCAAAAGCATGCGACCATCATACAGATTGGTTTAATTTTGTCCGTTATTCGAAATTGGCTAAGCAATCTTATCCTCTATTTGTAGCTTTTATGATAACACTTCTGCTTCGCATATTATGAAATATTCGCCCCCGAGTTAGTTTTATGATTTAATGTAACTGGTACTTATGAGAGTAAATGAACAAAACTAGAGAAGGTGGATCTTTAGAAGTGAAGATCAGAAAATAATGGAAAACTCTCCGGAATAATCATTTCTAAAATTTTCCACAGCTCTATGATTAATGACTAAATCGGTATCTGCTGTGATACAGCCATTAAGTAACATCAGAAATATAGTCTCCTTCTGCTCTTTGACTCTATCCACTCGACATCCCTTATGTGTTTAGAAGTAGGCGCGATTATTAAAGGTATCTCATCGATATCAGACCTTATCCCAAGCAGTCCTCCTTTAAAAACCAACTGCAGCATAAAGTCCAGAACTTGCCCTTCGTCTAGCCTCATACCACAAAAACTCCTCCCGGCACGACCCGGAACGTACGAATCAACTTGACCGGATACTGCCATTTAGATCTGCTATGGGCCGAGCAGTATTTTGCGGTTTGTCCAGCCGGTTAGGTAGGGTACTGAAATGCAACTTACAAAGGTGGTGGTTGTGAGGACCTATTTAGGATGTGAGCGGATTAACTTGAACGGTTTTTAGGACATGGAAAGTGTATACATTCACGGTTCTTTATGTATTATGTATTTACGTATCTAATTTTTATCGCTTTTTTTCAGATAAACAGAATGGCTATGGTAATTCCCAAATCCGGATATGCTCGTTTCCTAAAAGAAGGTGCACAGGTACTTATTAAGAAGCGTAGAGCTTGCAAATTATTGCTAGTCCCTTCCATTATAAAGCATGATTTCTCCTGCGATCATCTCTTATCTTTTCTCTTTCTTAATTGTATTTTGGCTGATTTTCAGCATTTCAAAGGTACCGAAGAAGCTGTACAACGTAATATTGAGGCATGCGTCGAACTTTCTTCTCAAATCCAGTCAGCATTTGGACCAAGTGGTAATGATACTTCACTTAATGTACGCAAACTGGCAGTAAAGTTAAGCATGGAGAAAGGTTGTAGTTGAAATCATGCCATTGCGGGATTTTGCCATTTGGGATTTTGTTAGCATACTGTTTAGCGCAAATGTCTAGGTATGAATAAAATGGTGATCAATCATATCGAGAAGTTGTTTGTAACAAACGATGCTGGAACTATCCTGAAAGAACTTGAAGTACAACATCCAGCAGCCAAAATGCTTGTTATGGCCACTCAAATGCAAGAAAAACAGATCGGTGATGGCACGAATACAGTAGTTATTTTCGGTGCTGCATTACTGGAACATGCATCTCAATTGTTGAACATGGTGATTATTTGAGTCTAATTTACAGTATTATATTGTTTGCTTGTTGGATTAGATCTGATTGGTTAACTGCCAACTTGGCCATTCTCAATTGGTAGTACAGGTTAAAAGTACAGCCGCGGGAAATAAAGTCAGAGGAAATTTACCGGTAATGGTAAGATCGCTTTAAGCTTCTTGATAACCCTGACATTCTTTTCCTCCAGTAATCTTGGAGAGTTTAAAATCGACTGGAAATGATCCATACATTTTAATGATTTTTCTTTCAAATGGCAAAATTTTGTAGGGTTTGAATCCTTCTGAGATTGCTGATGGATATGAGAGTGCAGCGGACAAAACACTGGAAATATTGCCGTCACTAGTCGTCAAGAAAGCTGATGATCTGCGGGATGTTGAAGTAGTGCAGAAGTATCTGAAATCAGCAATTATGTCGAAGCAGTACGATAATGTTGATTTTATTTCACATCTGGTTGCCAAAGCTTGTGGTAGGTCTTGTCTGATTTTATATCTCATATAGAATATGAAATTAGCAAACTTGATGGCATGAGAATATAATGAATACATATTGTTGGTCTAATTTTACATCGACAGGGAGTCGTTGGGATAGTGCATATTAAGATAATATAAAGAAGCTGTTTTTTGAAGTGATAGAATTAGTAGGCAGTAGACCACACAAAATTTAAATGTTATTTGAAATTTCCGCAACTTGAAATCTCGCCCCCAAAAATGCACTTCTTCTTTCGTAATCGAATAAACTCATCAAATAATCATTTCGTTATAATAAAAAAGATTAATTTTAGTTCAAATTGTACCAACGAACACATATAACTTCAACGTGGATAATATTCGCGTATGCAAAATCCTTGGTTCATCTGTTCACTCTTCAAAAACCATGAATGGAATGGTTTTCCTGCGTGGAGCTGAGGGTGAAATCAAAAAAATGGATAAAGCTAGAATCGTTGTTTACACTTGTCCATTTGATCTGACACAAACAGAAACGAAGGTAATCACGACGGAGAGATTGTATGTTTCATGAGATAATTAGTCAAAGTTTCCTTAGAGTTTCTTAGAAAAAAGGTAGCGATATGACAGGATTATCTGGTAATTCACTGTAAACATGTCTTCAAGTATGTTTGCAGGATTTAGCCCTGCATATCATATCTGATATTAGTAACCATTAAAATTTGGTCAGTTAGACCCTCAACATTAGAAAATATCTGTAATTACGTTTTAAAGTTCTATATATGAATGGATTTTGTGTGTGACTCCAGTTAGTCTTAATTTTTAGGGCACAGTTTTGCTGGAGAGTGCTGATGAATTGCTGAAATTCAGTGCTGGAGAAGAAACCGAAGTAGAAACTGTTGTAAAAGCTCTGGCTGAGAATGGCGTTAATGTTGTAGTAGCAGCCGGAAAATTTGGTGATCTCTATGTTCACTTCTTAAACAAATACAAAATTATGGGTGTTAGGCTGACCTCGAAGTTCGACCTCAGAAGATTATGTCGGACTACCGGAGCTCAAGCGCAGGCACGAGTAGTAGGTTTTTATGTCACATTGAACATTCATATTTGTATGGTTTGTTGAGAATGTAGTTTCTGTAATGCTTCTTTTGCTTGGATATTTTTTCTCCCGTTCCTGCAATGTACCCATTGCGACGAATAAGGAATAATTAAAGCAAAAATGCGGAAATGTTAAAAACAAAAATATGGTAGTTGCAATAAATGCATTGAATTGTCAGTGTATGAAATATCAAATTGTTGAAATTCATGAGTCAGCGTAAAAATATCTAAAATTGTTAAATTTAGTTTTTAGCAAATAATTTCGGTGACATAAACACTTTCCATTATTTTTGATTTTGATCTGTCGTCATAAAATTGGCGATTTTTAAAAATCTCAAACTCCATATGTTCAGTGTGTTCCACCACGAACTTCTTATGGTGAATGTGATCGAGTATATACAGACGAAATAGGCGAGACGGAAGTGACGATATTCGATAAGTTGAGTGAGCGAGGACATGTTGCAACAATCGTTATCAGAGGTTCGAGTCAGTCCCGAATGGATGACATTGAGAGAGCGATTGACGATGCAATCAATACTTACAAAGCACTCACAAGGGATTGCCAGGTTTGTGTTCCTTTTTTTGAAACCAGTGCATTGAGATATCGTTTAAAATCAAAATTGTTTGAATAAATTTATATAGAATTTTTTTCATGCTTATTTTTTTCAAAATTTGATCTAGCATGCTTAAAAAACATTGGCACATTTTGGTTAGTTATTTGGTTTGGACTATTTATAACCTTACCGGTGGGTAAATGAAATGGATGGCTTGGTTTTTCTCGCACTTTCCTCCCTTCTCGGGAGGTCCATTATTGCTTGGTCTGACTTCAGTTGTTAATAATTGAGACCGCGTGATTAGTTAGGTAATTCTGATGATAAGTTTTCGTAACGCAGTTAAAACGAATTGACTCTTTACATTAAGTTGCTTCCTGGTGCTGGAGCTGTTGAGATTGAACTGGCTCGGCAGATAGAATCGTTTGGTGAGAAGTGTGCTGGTCTTGAACAGTATTCGATCAAAAAATTTGCGCATGCTTTGGAAACTTTGCCAAAACAAATTGCCGAGAACGCTGGATTAGATGTAAGTGAAATATGATTATTGAAATATCTTTTATAAATCATTCACTTTCAACTTATCGTTCATTAATGTAAAATCGTACGTATGTCGCATAGAAATGTTTTCATCTACTATATTCCGCCGTAATATTTCAGCCAACCGAAATACTTTCTAAAATTTATGCTGCTCATCAAGAAGGTCAAAGGAATGCAGGGATCGATCTACTCTCTGGGGATATAATGGATGCTGTAGAGGCAGATATCTACGATCTTTATAGTGGTAAAAAATCTGCCATTAAATTAGCTGCAGACGCTGCAATTACCATTCTGAAAATAGACCAGGTTTGTATCTAGGCATCTTCCGGAGGATGAATTTTTGAGGTTGATTAAACACTGTTCGGTAGCTACAATGAATCTCTGAACGCATTAGTTAGCCTTTTTCATTTTATGTTTAACGATTCATTTTCGTTTCATTTTAGCGATATCATTTATTACTTATGGCGTAATTTGAGATGATTCCTCTCATTTCTCTCTCCTCTCATTCTTATTATATTTTTGTTGTCATTAAGTCTATACTGATAGTGAAGCAACCGTTCATCAGTAGGGTTGTTATAAAAGGACAGTTTTCGAATTAAATCAAGATTGTCCTGAACTTAAACTTGCTTTGAGACGATAAGAGATGGACTGGGTTATCCAGGTAAATTTATTAATGTATCTTGACGTTTCCCACTTTCTACATTTTGGTACAGTGTAATTTTATCAAATTTCCAGATTATTATGTCTAAACAATCGAGTGGGGGACCAGCACCGCGACCACCGAAGCCAGCTGCTGATGACGCAGACGATGATTGATCTGGATTGGTTTAATTCGTTTATGAATATCGTCTAATTATTCAAACATGTTAAAGAATTGAAAGCTGAAATATTGTTATTCCGTGTTTACCCTATTTTCTTTTCAAAGTGAAAAGATTTTGAATTGTTCAATAAACTTTTGTAAAACGAAGGATTATTTGTTAAATGGCTGTGCAGTTCCAGTTCTGCTTCTCTCAATTTCTATTCACATGTCAGCAATTACAGTGAGCAATTACGATAACATCCAAAAAGGAATATAATTGGTCTTTTATAAATTTCACGAAAGATTTTATTTTAAAATTGTTAAGGTCGGTGGCACATTTTGCATTTCATTTATCATTTATTTTGCATTTCATTTATTCTTATATCGTTAGCAAGACAAACAACTGCCCTGCAAAAAGGTTATTTCACTTATGGATGCAACGCCAGAAATTCAAAAGTGGGAAAAGACATGCTTTCTTTGTAATGGCCACTAGTACAGGTTTCATAGCAAATATTTTGCAGCTTTGGGATTGGCATCATAACAGATCACATTGTCATTGGACTACATTCCCAATGTCTTCCAAGCCCCCGTATAAAGTTGGTAAGTTGTTTTGCCTCTCATTTGACTTAAATATTTTACCGAAACAATTTTGTTACCTTTATTGACTGCCGTTTTGTAAATGATTTGTGTGTTGCCTCATTTATCTGCATCTTGCTGCTGAATTTAGCATCGGGTAATTACTAGAAGAGCTGTCAGTACAGGAATGTAGCTTCACATTAAGTTAATACGTAAACAAATTTGTTGTCGGCTCATTCTTCAGCCCATATTGAATGATTAATTGTATATTTAGCTGATATGAGCTTGGCTGAATTTGGGCGTAAGGAAATATTAATGGCGGAAAATGAAATGCCTGGTTTAATGGCGATGCGTAAGAAATATGGATCACTCAAGCCGTTGAAAGGAGCCCGCATTGCTGGTTGTTTACATATGACTGTTCAAACTGCGGTACTGATTGAAACGTTAGTAGAACTTGGCGCTGAGGTTATTTTTTTTTTTTTTTTAGAAATTGATTTATTGAAGTGTATGCACTCAGTTACGAATGTTTGTGCCAGTGACAACATGATCTAGAAATAATGGTAAATAATAATGGATTTGTAATGGGCGATTTTTTCTACTGGTAATTTCAGTTGGTTGAAATTCATATTTTTTTAATATATTATGTTAGATCATTTCAGTAGTCGCTCGTCTTTACTTTCAGGTTCAGTGGTCATCATGCAACATATTTTCAACGCAAGATCATGCTGCCGCTGCTGTAGCAAAGCGAGGTATTCCTGTATATGCATGGAAAGGAGAAACGGAGGAAGAATATGAATGGTGTATTTTACAGGTACTATTACGAAAGTCTGAACTCGTTTCAATCTTCATCTTTGCTTTTTTTCATCGAAAATAATTATGTAGAAAAGTTTTCCTCATTTTCTGCTAACCGTTATGTTTTCACATTTTACACCTGGAATATCAGCATAATATGGTTTTGAGAATACAATGTAATCTTGAGTTTGTTCACTTTATCTTTTTGAACTGATCAGTTTATTTATTGCGTCTTAAAGAAGAACTGAAAAAATAAAATTTTGGCATACAACACCAATGAAGTAATCAGTAAGCAATATTCTTACTACTTAAGCTAACTCAAGAATTTTCAGACGCTAAGATTTGATGATGGCCAGTATTTGAATATGATTCTGGATGATGGAGGCGATTTAACTAACATCGTCCATGAAAAATTTCCCCAATACTTATCTGGAATTTATGGCCTTAGTGAAGAAACCACGACAGGAGTACACAATCTCTTCAGAATGTTTGCTACTGGGAAATTAAAGGTCAATTTTTTAGAAAATGTTTTTGAATAAGTCACCTCAATAGTTTAATTTCGAATTTAGTTCACATAAGCACAGTGTTGTCTGGTTCGGGCTTCATCTATTAATGATATTATGTCACCACATATTCCTACGTTTTTGATTAATCTATATTCATTTGAAATAGTGTAAATATTAATCTATGGCTTCCGGCATACTGGATGCTCTTTCCTACAAACTTTTCGTAGTTTCTCTTTCCTGCTTAGGTACCAGCAATCAATGTGAACGACAGTGTCACTAAATCAAAGTTCGATAATCTGTACGGGATTCGAGAATCTCTACCAGATGGTATCAAACGAGCAACGGATGTGATGGTTGCTGGAAAGGTTGCTGTTGTAGCAGGTTACGGAGACGTTGGGAAGGGAGCAGCTGCTTCACTAAAAGCTTTTGGCGCACGGGTGATTGTGACTGAAATTGATCCAATCAATGCTTTACAAGCTGCTATGGAAGGTACTATATTCATTGATTACTTGTCATTACTGTTTTTAGGGTTCGATAGTGCGTCGATATGACAATTTTTGATGTAGTTTTTACATTTCAATATACAGTTAAGCGCAAATAATTCTATTATGCTACCGATTGTAATATTGTGGGAAATGAGATCATGTGGACCACCAGCAATATGAATTATTTAACATCGATAGATATATAATAGGCAGGTCACTTTCATTTTATTTATACTCATGGAACTTTTGCGGAAAAATGATCATTCACATTCAGGATATGAAGTTAAGACTTTGGAACATGTGGCACCAGTGGCAAATATCGTAGTCACTACAACCGGTTGCAAATGTGTTGTTCGAGGAGAACATATGATTGAAATGCCCGAAGACGCCATTGTCTGCAATATTGGACATTTCGATGTCGAAATTGATATAAATTGGTTAAATACAAATGCGATAAGCCGTGATACAGTGAAACCTCAGGTATTTTGTTTAGTTTCTGTCTAAATTAACAATAAATAAGGCAACGATCATGAGCTCCTTGATGTTCGGAAATTTCCTTAGATTCTTTTTGGAGATAATTTGGGTAAAATAAACTAGTTTTACTTCATGCATGTTTTGAACCTTCTGATACTATGTAAAATATTCTGTATATTTTACCTTATTCTTCCGACTTCATGTTTTATCATCCTTTCGTATAATAAGTGATGTTGCAGGTTGATAGATATCTGTTGAAAAATGGAAGGCACATCATAGTTTTAGCAGAAGGACGACTATGCAATTTAGGTTGCGCTACGGGACACCCTTCATTTGTTATGAGCACGTCGTTTACAAATCAGGTTATTATTTTATATTTGAATATCATCACCTTTTGATAGTTGAGAGATATAATTTGAAGCTACAAACCTGTGATGCAAACTTAATGCAATGGGCAGTGATAGATAAGTTGAATTGAGTCAACTAAAATTTATTCAAATGTTTTTGATATAATTTTGGAGTCAGTTCCAGAATGTCAGTTTGTGAGAATTTTATAACTTCTTCCTTTTTCTCTCAAACATGTTCAGTATATAGTTTTGTATACTCTGAACTACAGGTATTGGCACAAATTGAATTATTTACAAAACACGGAACTCCGCAACAATATAGCATTGGCGTTCATGTATTGCCAAAAATACTGGACGAAGAAGTTGCACGACTCCATCTAAACAAACTTGGTGTCCAGCTGACAAAATTAAGACCGGAACAAGCTGAATACCTCGGCATACCCATCGAAGGACCATATAAACCGGACCATTACCGTTACTGATTGATCGCATATTTATTCCCTGCTTTTGCAAGTCCATGAGCACTTTTGTCCTGACTGAACAGATTGTTGATAATCCATTTCCTTGTTTACAGGTTGTTCGTTTTAAACTTTGCAGAGTCACCGTAATACAATAATGTGTTCCGTTTCAGATGCCAGATTTTCAGCCGAATAAACACTTGTTCTTATTAATAGATACACAATACATTTCACTTCAAATATAGGTGTACAATAAAATTCATTCAATATATGATATGCGGCACAACGGATTTTGTAAACGCTTCTTGAAATCCAATCAACACTTAAGTTTTTTATTTCGAAATTTTGGTTCTAGACTCCTATATACATGCAACAAAAATCAAGCATCAACAAAAATTGACAACAGATCTACAGAACATTTCAACCCGCTTATGAATACAATAAGCTTGAGGAAAGAGATATGTCAATCAATGAAACGGAATCGATCACTCAATATTTTATATTTTTCATCCTCTAGTGTCAGGACTAATGTCTGCGTAAAGGCATGTGTCATTTGACCAAGAACAACTTTTCCAACAGCAAGAACCACCAGCGGACGCGCTTGGTCAGAACTATCGATATACTGGCAATCTAGTGATTCCAACCTAAAGATATCAGAATGAATTTTAAAAATATAACTGATCAGTACTTCCATGAGATTAACATAATCCTGAAATGTTCTTTAAGTGCCCAATTTTCATTCATAACAAGCAAGCAAAGATGTACCCTCAGTTCTGAGTTATACATGATCTCGTCCGTAATAATTCTCTTACCTATATGGAATGATTGCTCTCATCTGTAAAAGTTTGTTTTTCCACGGTGCCTTTCTTGCTGAATGCTTTACTCAGTCTTGAACAATTTTTTTCTAGTACGTGAATAAAATAAAAGGTCAAGGACTTGCTGAGGAGAAACTCACGTGTGAGTAGAACTGGGCAAGCTATCGTAGAATTTGGCGATAATTTCCACTCCGCGTATGGCGTTCCCATTCCAAACAAGCATGGCTCCATCAGCGTATAAGAAATTCATCTTATTTCGCTTTCGATCAACGGCATCGTAGAATAAGTCCGTGAATTTCTTTGCTGCTGTACAAGCCGTTTCATCTTCTACTGCCAATTTTGACATCGAGATTCTTGAAATTGCAGAACTGTCCTACTAGTTCAATAAAGGCCTGTAACACCTTTCAGGGATGTCAGTCATGTCATTTCTGATGAAAAGATTGTATCTAAACATATATCGACGCCATCTAACATGATAGTGGTTCAGGAAAGATTAAATGCAATAAGCTCACACCAACCCCAACTATGAACCATATACACTAGGGAATATGTGAGTCTACGTGAGTTTTTATATGAAAAAAAAAACTAACAAAATACCATGCTCTCATCAGGAACAGAACATACATAGAGATAAATCCATAGAAAGAATGAACAAGATAGGGGAAATACCGTAATCATAGCAATAACATCGCAGACTGATGTGTCAGCTCTATAACACGAATAAATTTTGCAGTGACACTAACACTTTTCTTTATTTCTTCTGAACCAACAAGAAGACAAACTGATGGTAGGAGAGATGACTGCTACTTCTTGATTACGAGTAGAAGTTCATCTGAAGTCTTCAACATCTTATATTATCTTAGACTAATAGTAAATAAAGGTTCGCATGAAAACATTACCTTTTGATGTTCTACGTCATTTTACTAACAAGAAATAAACGTGGTCATGCATACACCACCCCACGCCACTAATGCCTTCAGTTATTTCCAAACAAGCAAACATAAACAATGACTATTTGACAATCTAAGGTCTTCACTTTAAAGCTACTATTGACGGACAAATATTCGTTCCGAGACCAATTTATCATTTGAATTTGAGGTGAAGTAATGATTTTGAATTGTCTATTTGAAATCGGTGGTTTGCTGCTATAAAGAGATTCTTCGGTTTAATTGTAAATTAATGAGCAGAACAAATTTTAAAGTAAGTTACTGGGGTGGTTTGTTAGTATTTTTGGTTATAACTTATCACTCTTAAAATTGCCATTCCTGAGTTATTTACTGCTATTTACGAGTTATTTATTATTTACTTCTTGAGTTACTTAAAAATTAAACATTACTTGACAATTACCTCCAAAGATTTTCTTTCAAAAACAACTTAGAAAATACAATACAAAACATCCTGTCCATTTGTTTCATGTCTGGAAAATGGAAGTTTTTTTGCATATGCAAATTAGTGGGCAAGAAATCTATCTCAACTTATACAAGTTTTACTTCTTGCGCTGAATGTATTATTTTTATAATATTTGCAAAGTCCTGCGGGCTTACTTGCAGCAATGACTGCATTTGCAGGTGCAGGTGCTAGTTATAGGTTGAGGGATTCGAAACGAAATTCCTTCCTATCTCTCCTTCTACTATTATCAATCTTTTTTACTGGTAATTTTCTTCTCAATTATTTTCCCGTCTCCTTCTTCAGCTTCTCCGAATGAAATTTACAATATCCTAAAAGTCATCCTAGCATGACTTTCTGTCCTGTCTCGAGGTTTTAGTCGTGGCTATTTGGTTGACTTTCTTATGAACTACTTCTTTTGTTACTTCCTACCTAGAATGAACTACATGAAGTAGTTTTTGAATTATAAATCAATTTGATTTTCAAGTCTTATCACATTCATTTCGTTGGCATTCTATCCGTTACAAACTACAGTTAGTGTGGAGTCAACTGCATCGATTGAAAAACTGGCAGAAACAGGTAGAAGTACTGATCGATCGAACATAAGTCTTGATAATGATATGGCACTGAATGGAACAGACAGTAAAGCGGACGATTTGGTTATTATTCTTTTTATTATTTCCAGCTTCTTTCTGATTTTCCACAAAAAAGTTCACCTAGAGAAAAGTATGTCACGCATCATCACATGCCTTGATTGATACTTATCTTTCTGTAGGAATAAGAAAGTTCTAGCTCAACGGGGCAATTGAAAAGGAAAACTTTCTCATGTACAACTTTTGAGAAAATTGACCAGTTAAAATTTCAACGCTTCATTAGTATGATTGCAACAGATAAAATTCTGGATTTAAATTGAAGACCGAGTCTTATCTGTCGAAAGCAAGAAACAGAAAAAGATCTGACTGATAAGCAAAAAGTAGGGATTAATTTGCTCCATTTTGTGGCTGCAAGCACAATGAAATTTGCAGCAAGCTGTAGTATTCAAGAGGATTAAAATACAGATCACCACAGCGAGAAATGACAGTACTCAAAAATACTGTATCGGATGGCTGTGTGTTTCACTTTTTATTTTCATTGTTGTTAGTTTGTCTTTCTTGTATTTCTTCTAATTATAAGCATTTCATTATTGGTAAACAATGCAGTATGTGAGCTTAAATTTGCTTGTAAAAGCTGAGTTCCAAGTGGATAGAATTTGAAAGTGAACTGCGCTATCTTTCTTCCCTCGAATGAATGAGCAAGTTATCATTTGACGTCGGTGGCTAGGAAATATCTTCGTCACTAGTTAGTCACCTTTTAGATATTACATACCGTATTTTTACATTTCACAAAATTCTGTCAAGTCACCAATAACAGGAAGCAACAATGTCTTAAACGCAAGTATTTGTAAAATGTGTTGTAATTTCCGGAGCTCTTATTTAAATTTGTAAAAACTGGAAGTAACATGCGACATTTTGGCATGAAAGGTATAAAGGTGAATCGATTTAGGCATATTTCCTGACACTGTCTGATTCCATTTGATTTATTCCCATTGTTCATTTTTTGCTTATTTTTCAAACAAGTTCCGAAATGTGGAATGTTATTCCATTTAATTGCTGCTTTACAGATAATTGCAATTCCAAGCATCATCATTTTGATAATATTTATTATATTTCTGAGCTACATTTTGCGACGAAAACAAGATTATCAAATAAAGTCAGACAAATCATATGGATCTGGAAGGTTGTATTGTATTTCTGACTGGTAGAAGAATGTGTGGCCAAGCAATGGCTCTGAGAAGCAAAGGAACAAAAGAGAAGGGAAAAAGAGATGTGTAGTCAGGTCTAATTTTTCCTCAACTTCAGATTGATGCAGTTACAATTGGAACAGCAAAATAGTTTCGAAGAAACAATGTCTACAAGATCTAGTCTATCTAATTTTGGCGCTGAAACTAGTGCTGGTGAAGTGAAGCCACTCAGGTATATTTCTTGTGCTTGGATTAGTGGAGTGCCAGTGCAGAATTTCCAAACTGATCAAAATTAGCTGCATGTCAACTGCAGCTTTTCGAAGGTCATCTAATTGGAACTCATTGCACTCCTTAGTACCATTGTGAAGTTATATTCAGAATTCAGGCTGGTAAAGATCTGTCCCTTGCAATCGTTTCTTGTATTCCAGCCATCTTCCTCCTCTTCCTTTAATGCTATTTTTAAATCACAATGAGATGTTCAGTTTGGATTCATTGATCTGTGATGTAAATGATTAGTGCATTTTTGAAGGAATATGTCAGAGGAAAGTGAGTTATCACGTTCTATAATGGCGTCCACATCGTCAGAGCACGAGGATGAGAATGCTTCGCAAAGAAAAAAGTCACTGATCAAGAAAAGAAGGCATTATTGACCTGTTTTCTGATGTTTATAAATTTTCACAATTAAAATCACTAACTGCACTTGTCTTCCATTGTAAATCATGTAAATCAATTATGTAGACGTAGTGCTGGTCGGTATATATGTCACAACAGGACTGTACAAATGTTTGCTCTAAACATAGTTGAATTTTGAAAACAAATGACAAGCAAAACAATACTATACACCTCGACTACATTTATGGTGCAAATGGGGAGCATATTACGATGAGACGACTGATAAAATAAATAATAACCAATTATCCCTGTTGTTCTATGCTATCCCTCTGGAAATACCCGTCCACGTTGAAATACATTGTGTAATTTCAAATGAACATCTGCCATCATTTACATAGTTGATTCTTCAAAACACAATTTTTCAGAAATAATCACATTTTGAAATAATTTTGAAGAAGAGAAGGCTTACTGAAATGAAATTTTAAATTAAGCAAACTTTTCCTTTATCTATTTTTTTATTAAGCTTTCATTAAACTGGAAATTAGTTTTGCTACGTTGACCGGCAATGAGTTTGCCTGAGGCTATATCTCTCGCAAATTCATCTCACTTTTCCTTGAATGTTGAATGGCCTGTTACAATTTATAGCGGGAGAAAGATGTTTTGCTTTTACGGGAATAAGCATCTCTTATTATCTGTAATCATCAACGGTCTTATTATCTGTGATTACGAAGAAACCTTTACCTTTTTCTTTATTATCTCGATTTCTCCCCCAACAACTTCCTCCTTTTATTTACATTCCCCATTTTCGATGTTTTCTTCGACGGTCGAAAGATTTCTTCTTTCTCTTTGTTTTTTTTTTTTTCTTTTACTTCTCTTTGATCCGTTCTTTTTTCTAAATTTATAATTTGATGGAGGCATTGCAATGATGCATACAAAAAAAAAAAAAAATAGATTAAATGAAGTTGAATAAAGTGGTAGAAACAATTCGTTTGTCGTAACGATAGAAATAAAAATTAATAATTTTTTTTAAAAAAATTAGAAATTACTCTAGCACCGCTTCGATAAATGACTCATCAGTAAACAGAAATTCACGCATGTATATGTGGTTCATCTCCTTCTTTCTTATACTTCTGTAAAAAATCATTTCTCATAAAATACCGACAATTACTGGCTCCTTACCTATCTTAACTGAAGACTGTGGGGAGACAATAGTTTTAGATCAGTGGTTCTCAATCGATAGTTTGTAGTCTGCAAAAAATGAGATATGGTCCAGGCGGGCAATGACGTGGTGAGTAAAAAACAGTGGAGGTTGTCCTTATCAGTGTTTGAGAAATCAATGCATGGAAAATTTTGATTGAAATTTTTAGAATTTGTTATTTTTGAACCTTGTGGGACCACACTGCTACCAATAAAAATGCGAAAGTGGTCGGTCAAGGAAAGGTTAGGAACCATTGCTTTAGACTCTAAACAGAATAGATTTCAAACATTTCACGATAGCATCGATTGTAAAAAGCAATCATTTTGCTTCAGTGTGGAAGAACTTCAGATATTTGCCATTTGCCTTATGGCAAATATCTGAAGTTCTTCCACATTTCTACGACTTTTTTTTTGACTACCAGATTCGTGATAGTTGTTCTGTCCAAGTTCGGCTGGTCAGCTTCGCAATCTTTACAAACATCTTTCGCTATGACTAATGGAGCATTTTTAAAAGAAAAGTAATACTGGACTTCACCATTGTATATCTGTAGTTCGAAAGGCGTCTTTTGCTTTTGATCTGCTATCGACAGTTGCGCTTGGAATAAGCAGTGCTTCAGATGTTTCAAGTGCTGCTATGGTTTATTTTGCCTTATATCTTCTAGAAACTGCTTCCGTTCTTAGCATTCTAAATACAATAGAAGGCATTACTTCTGCCCTGGGTTTTTTGATATTGCATATGACGCTGTTTAAATACTTCAGTTCTTTGAACTGACAAAGGTACTTCAACTTAGACGGGCGCAGAAACTTTCTCTGTTGATTCCGCATGCTGTTCATTATCTACAGCACAAGGTTATCGGTCTCCTGATTTGATTCCTCCCTTGAGCCTTGAAAAACGTTTTCGCTTTTAAGCACCTTTCTACCTTCTAATAACTTCCGTTAATCATTCAAATTGCAATTCAACGTAATATGAAGGACGGATTTTAAAATGTAGTTAAGAAAATAAACAACTGAAATGATTTATCTGCTTGTCAAGTTTATCCGGTAGCTTCTGTACTTGCCTTTGATCTTTCATGTTAAACCGCTTGTATCGAATATAAAAGAGGCGATCGATGTAATTACGGTTTCTCTGACAGACAAAAGACAAGGTAAACTGGCAAAAAACATAGATGGGCGATGATGAAGGAAAAAATAATCCTCCTGAGACTTCCATTTTTTGCATTAGTAGCTGGTTTTATAAAGTATTTTATCTTTATCAAGGTTATAAAAATGTCCTGGCACTTAACACCTCAGATTAGAGTTCCCTTTGCAAGATACCTGTCAACCTCACCGATGTATTCTTTAAAATTCGCCGAGATGTCCCGCTTCTTTATGAATTATTTTCGATTTCCTTATCTTAGTCATTTTGTCCTCACTCAAAACCTCAAGATAAAACTTCATTCTTATCATACTTCCACAGAAGCCACACTCAAATGATAGAAAAGCCTTTGTGATCTGTCTATTTTACAAACCTTACCATTTATCAGTTATCAAATT